TACCCTCTCCTTTCTTGAATGTCTTCTTCGGTAATCTTTCACTATTTTCATTTTTTTTGTCTCATCGCTGTGCTGTTTTGGTTGCTGCTGCTGCTGCTGCCCCCACTGCTGTATTAACCTGTTGTCTATCGAAAAACCAACCAACAGCATACCACATACCAATCAAGCAACCAAAAAAAAAAAATACAACAAAGATAGATGAAAAGATTGGTAAAACAGTGGCAATGTTGTAAAGGAAAAAAAATTAGAACAAGAAGGGAAAAAGAAAGAAGAAGAAGAAGATGGTGGTGATGAAGATGATGATGACGGTGATGGAAAAAGAAGTGGAAAAAAAAAACTTTGTCGCTTTGATTTGCTGCATAAAAAGTTGCACACGTAAATGCCCTTTTTTTTTTTATCACTTTGCCTTCTGCTTCGGTCTCTGTCTCTGTTTCTGTTTCTGTTTCTGTTTCTGTTTCTGTTTCTGCTTTTTTTTTCCTTCAATCAACTTTTCCAAAAAAAAAAGAAAAAAAAAAGAGAAAGAAAAATTGGGCGCAATAGCGTTCGTTTGGTTGTTTGTTGTTCAAGGTTGATCGGTAAAAATACCACAGACTTGAACATTCAAGTACATTTGGCATTGCATTCCGTTCAGAGAAATACTTCTTTTTTTTTTTCCTTTAACACTTTTGCATCAAATTTCTTAGTTTACGAACCTGAATTGCCTTCAGCGTTCCCAGCAAGCCAATATAAAGTGCACTTCTGTGCACAATGTCACCAATATTCACCTAAGAGCAATTTCAATTCAATACGTATCTATCCATCTGACTTATACGGCTGCCCATTGCTGTCTGAAAAATTTCCAGCGTTTTGTTGTTCGACAAATTTTCCTCTTCAAAAACTTCTGAAATAAAAGATTTTTTTTTTTTACTTTAACTTTTTCTTCAATTTATAAAGTCTTCTCTGCTGCATACAGTAGTCAGTCGTTTTCTGCTATGTTACTTTTTTTTATTTGCTTATTTGCTTTTCATTTACTTCCTGAAATTTTCTACTGCAAAAGAAATTTGAATTTTTTTCTAAACCTTTATTGTCTTCAAGAAAATTTTAAACTATTTATATGAAAAAATTAAACAGAAAAACGAATTTTTAGTTCAACTAGTAAAGCATAAAGTTTTGGTTAAAAAGAAGTAGTCATAGATGCTAATGTTTGCTTTGTTGCTTTTTTTTTTACTGGTAACTGTCACGGTTTTAAATGTTAAGTTACAAACATAAAAGCAGATACTTTTCTTGGGTTTCTTGTTGACAATTTTTAGACTGCTTCATTCGGTGAACAAAACTTTGACCTTAACTCTAATAGTCCTCGCTAAAAATTATTTTCTTCCATTGCTTCTCCTATTTATACTTTTTACCTATATTCTTCAACAAACCTTCCTGTAGAAACGTTCATAAATTGCTGAATATTTATCTATTTTGACAGCAATAGTTAGAACTCTTTGATTTTAGGATGGGGACGCAAGTGTTGGTAAATCTTGCTTCTGTAGCCAGCGGTGGCGCAATTTTAGTAACACTTGTTGTTGTTGGCATCCTGTTCCAGGATATCAACAGCCTTTACTATGAAGTTCTTGATGACATGAATGACTTTAAGGTAGTATCGTAGTAATCTGTAACACAGCTCGTAGAACATGCTTAATTTTGAAATCACAAAAGCTTTATCCTCTTTTGAAACAAATTATAAAAAATTTATTTGTGAGAAAACAAAAAGCAAAAAGACCGAAAGAAATTTATTACATCTGTCTTAATTCTTCATCAAATTAACTGGACCTCTACATAGAGTTTGGCAAATGATGCATGGGATGAAATAATGAGCGTCCATGGAATCCAAAAGAACTCACAGAGGGCTGCCGTTAATCCTTTCGCTGAGCTTATTTCAAGAAGCAAACGACAAACCCTTCCAAAACATTGCAGTTAGTCTTTGTTAAGCATTCAGAACTTCTAAAATGAAGTGGTAGTCAGGAGCTACTTGTAGTAAGCGCACATCAGAAATATTTTTCTAGAATGTGGACTTCGCCCGACTAAATGTCCCCGAGGCCCTCCAGGACCACCAGGAGACCCAGGAATACCAGGAGGTCATCATCATTCTTTTCAGTCTGAAATCGCTTGAGCAGAAACAACACTTACTTGAACAAAACCTAAACAACACTTTGGCAAATAAGAAGAAGAATTGAAATTTCAGAAGACGGTCCACCAGGTCCAGATGGACGTCCGGGCCCTGATGGCATCCAAATCTCGTTCGGACCTAACACGAGGGGAGGTTGCGTACAGTGCCCACCAGGACCCCAGGGTGTACCTGGCCCAGACGGACCGATGGGTCCACCAGGACCAGACGGCAAACCTGGATTACCGGGACGACCAGGACCTATGGGACCTCCTGGCCCACAGGGAGAGGAAGGAGAACAAGGACCACCAGGTAAAGACGCTGCAAAGAATTCTTTGAGAATACAGATATCATAGAAATGCAGAAAAGTCGTCGCTTTTCTCTTTGGTAGTTAGGTCAAAAATGGTCAAT